TTTGATTTTAGTCGACAGTCTCCTCAATTTGCATGAAATTCATTTACCATTTATTCTTCCTGGCCGTCGTCATCACACATCTGTTGAATATGGTTTATAAATATTTGCGGCGCCTCATGGCATCGAAGCATTAGCTAATATAATTCACAGTCAACGCTATCAGCAGCCTTTCTGAAGTCAGAGCATTGTAGAAATAGAGTTGACTGTCATTCTAGGTTCATTTCTCTGATGATGTGTGGCGTGGCAGTTTGATCGGTACGTGATCTATTTTTCTTAAACCCACCTTGTTTCTGAAAAGGGTTTACATACCAAGCACGTTTCAGTCCTTGCAAGGTGACGTGGAGTAATATTTCGTTGGGGCTGACAGCAGCTTTATTTTGGGCTAATTCTTCCAAAGGCTTGAGTCACCTTTCTTTGACACTTTGACAAAGTAGCCTTTCTTCCAATCGCTGGTTAGCGTGAGTGAGCATACCTGATGAAGTTTCTAGGTCCATATTCAGTAGTATTGAGGGGAAACACATTTAGTCCTTCTGTTTTTGAACTGGTTTTCAATAACTTCATGACCTTCATGACTCGTAGTTTTGTAAGAGAGGTGGTGTTCACCGTTAGTCCTGTGTCTGCTAATAATGGTATTTCTGGACGAACTGTAGATAATGATCGATTCGACGGCTCCCTGAAGCGATTAGTGCAGCGTCTCTCTTGGTCTGCCTCTTTGCTAAATGAGTTTCCTTTACTAACTTATACTGCCTTCATCTGAATTCACCGCTTTTTGGGATAACATCAGTGTTATTTGATATAATGTCTTGAGCTCTCTTCTAATATAAACCTGCTATGACTTATATGCCAGTTAGTTGTACAAGCGATTTTTGTTTTTCTTAAACTCTTCCCCCCACTTTATTCGGTACGTCGTAGATTATACTCACCTGTTTCTCACTAGATAGTGATGTTAATCTACATCTGCTTTTATTCTCATATTTATGTTCAGTAGTGCCGGTATTCTTTCGTCAAGAAGTATGTATAGTCCGCTATAAGTCGACAAAAGGGGACATAACTTTATTTGAAGACTTCCAAGCACTTATCTTTATGCTTCTGTTAATAACGTGAGCTAGACAATAATGGATATGGAGTACTTAGGCAGATAGATTTACTGGAACAGAATAACAATAATAATGATGGTAATAATACTAGTGTAGCGAAATGAAAACTAGTAGCATTTGTTCAACATGGTTATAGCAGATATTGACAAGATTCACTAAATAATGACTAGGGCTTAACCAATGTCATGCGTCTAGTCCCTAGTTGCACTGTTACTGACTGAATCCTACAATACAGTTTTGCTCTGTGATCACCAAGCCATGCAACTCACCATTACGGTGTCCCTGCGTCTGATGTCAAATGTTTGGCTGCAATAAGCAGGAAACCACGAACGTAGCTATAAAGGCTTTAGCGACCACTATAGTCTTATGAGGGGTCAATTGTCACCTTGAATATCTCAGTGGTGATGTCACTGGCTGCAGTAATGGGTGAGACGGGTTCAGATCTCCGAGGGGACATCAGATGTGCCCTGCCTGCAAGCTCCAGTAATCAAGAATACTCATTCCATTACATTCTGAAGACTATTTCCAAATAAGTGACACCTATAATAGCTATCTCTGTAGAGTAACCAAATGCACATCAAGGATATCTCAGACGTCAACCAGGAATTGAGAAAAACCACCAACTTGCTCGAAATAGGGAAGTATTTCTATAGATTGTGGAAGAAACCAATACATTAAAATCATGGTTTCAATCACTATGGTAATCCCACAACTTCTAAAATTTATAATTGAAATATTCATTCACTTTGCTAATATTTAGAGTATAATGTGACATTCAGTCTTATTTCGAGCATACGAAACCAGATCGATATCAAGTTATGCTCAGTTTGCATGTACTTACTAGCAATAAATTAAAACTTCGATCTAAACTTCATACTTATTAGAACTTGTCACTAAGGCATTTACACAAATCAGCCAACAGATCTCAACCAGATTCGAAAACTTGAATAAATGACTCTTCCACTCACTTCCATTGCAAATAACAGCAAATTCAAAGCTGATTTTCTTCCACGAATGTACTGCCAGCTCTTAGTTCTAGAAACAGTACAACTTGAAATGTAGTTTCATCTCTCATGATGTTTTACCTTTCATTTTCTTAGGCACACAATTTTCAAGCTAAAACTGATTAGTTTAGGCTTTATAAACTGTTTCACGCTACTCGTCGATTGTGATAGATGGATATTTGTATATTTTCACATAAAACATCACTCAAAAAATACTAGTTACCGTAGTTTCGTTGAAATACCAATGAATCTGACGAACAACAATTCTTATCAAAAATAGACATGTTAACTGGTGTTGTTTTTCCACCCAATTTAGCATTTGATGCGATTCAAAATATTAACACAATGAGAAAATGTTTTCACTGAAGTAATTTGATCCTTTTGAAGGCTTTTTTTATTTGTATACTACCTACATCACCATGAGTTCATTCTCATTGTCTGCATATGTGTAGGCATGAAAACGAATAAAACACATGAGTAGATTAGCATACAGTGTATTCAGAAAGGTATAATTCTCAAATCTGACATCAGATAAGTATGATGATTTGCAGACATGTATCATGTGTGTGCGTCGGTGGCACAGTGGTTAGGATCCTCGCCTACCATGCACACGGTCCGGGGTTCGAGCCCGCGCCGACGCACACATGATATCTATGGTCGGCCTGCGAATTTTGGGCTACCGATATCCACGCTGAAAATTCCATACTTGTACCAAATATACAGTGTGGAATGAAGCTGTAAATCAAGAAAAAAAATAATTAAGGTGAACAGGTAAGAGTGCAGTAACATGTACTCTCATCACTTGAAAAACGGTTGAATTTCCATATCTTAATGACTCAGTTGAAGAACGTCCGTTATAATCTGTCATAAACATAAATATGATTAGTCTTAAAATAGCATTAGAGATTTAATGGATCGGGTGAAATTGGTGGAATCAATAGATTTTCTTAGATGCAAGCCCTTTTCCATGTAACCATAAATAGATCGTTGTTAAACATAGCATTCATGTGACTAAACTACCAGAAGTAGTACCACAACTTGTTTGTTATTAGCTTCCTTGCACTGTCTAAAACATCACCATTTTCCTATTTTGACTGGCGTCGCATTAATTCATTTTTATCTAAGCTGTCTTTACAATTAGATTTATGATCCAACTATTTGAAATAAATGTCACAAATACACAACTTTTCATTATAAAAGTTAGTCTTTTTAATAACCCCATCCAAATATTTACTTCGTTTCGTATGGAATAATATAAATCAACATATAAGGAGTGCTGTTCACTTAAACTGGACTTGTGTTTTGCGGATAAAGTAACAGTAAGTAAACAGTAGTAATAATAAGTCTCAGAGTAAGGCGTCTGACTTAATTAAACAAATTCATTGGTTTAACCTTTGAGGTCTTTAGCCTCAATACCTCTCAACAATACAGTGACAAAGTGACCCAGATGGGATTTTTAGAAAAGAGACAAAACAACTTACCTGGTAATCAACAAGACAGTGAAAATATGACTTTGAAATTCAGCAAGGTGCACGCTGCTATTATATGAAAAGCAAGTTGTCTGCGTATTTACTTGAAAACTGTGAGGAAGGTGGAGAATGTAAAAAGCCGAATACACAAAAAAACGCATTTCAAAAGTGATAATAGTGAATTATTCACTAAAAACAAAACTCAACGGATCAGTAAAATAAGTGATTCAGCAAACATTTTTCTACGCCCACTGTTTGGGCTTGATTTAACTTACTGCTAGTGCCTCCTATTTTTATTCGTCTCCAGTTTGCATTAAAAGCATTTCATCACCTGTATCTGTAAGTATTCCAATGCTACTTTACTTGAGATTAAAATAAGCGAAATTAGTGAAGTGCCAAGAAAGAATTTTACATAAGTTCCGATTTTAGTTGAATCACATTTACGAAATAGATCCAATACCAGATCACTAGAAAAGATTATTGTTTTCCTCGTTATAATCGATGTTTGCAATCATTGATAGATAATGCTTTACCTTACTGGTAAGGCGTTTGAAGCATTATTTCATATCCTTAAATTAGGAGCAGGTTTTAAAATATTTCAAGAAAGACAACATAACATTAAAACATTTAGCTACACTTGGTGCACCAAGACTGTCCGAAGCAAATTTCATCATTGTCAGATTGGTATATTTTTTCCAGTTTTCACACAATGCCCACATTTTGCATCATTTTCCAGCGAACATTGTCATTGTCATTGTACATGCCAACCTCACATACATTTGCTCAGGACACAATCCTAGTAGTATCATAACTAAGCAGTGAAGAACGCTGTGATGTTGCACAGTTGAATTCATACTGTCATATCATTCATAAGGTTCTGAGAATCAGAAATATAATTTATGAACACTATATCTACAAACAAATGCAGTTGTTATTTGAATAATTTATTTTTATATAGTTGAGATAATGTGTGAACAGCATCACGAATAATAACTTCAGTCTGAGGTTTATGAGAAACAAATGTGAATACAAGATTAAAGTTACGCAGTATACTTTCAATTTAAAGGGATGAGCAGGACTAAATATGATCATCTAGGTAACAGAGGTAAACGAAGCTAAAAGAATTCATTGGAGTTAAGCATATTCTCATGAAAACAGGCATTTTCTTACAGGAAAAATTCATGAATGTATGCGTCATATTTCTTGTAGGAAGACATGAGCAAAGTTCAAACAGCTTGTAAACAATGGTGACAATTTTTACATAAGAAGTGTTTTCATAGTTTTTGTTATAAACAGATTTATACACACAAATCAAGAAATACATCATACATAGTAATCAAATTTCACACAAGTTGCAAGTGTGTACAATTTTTTTATACAGCCAGTATTACAACAATCCATCTGATTTTAAGTTTCGCCTTATAATAACGTCAGTAACAGCGTCAAATACGAATTGTATATTGGTAGTATCTGTGGCACATGTAAAGTGTGTGTAAATTTCCTTCGTTGTTTGTCTGTTCAGGGCTTCAAATTTTAGCTGTATAAACAGACTAGCTTCTTCATAATTATTCAGCCCTAAAAAAGTAAATAAAACAGTTATTGCAATTATTAAAAGTTAATAATTTTTATCAGAACAGAAATTGGTAGGGTTTTGGGACATATTTTCTACGTCGAAGCTGTCAATGGAAATTAGGTCTTCAGCGAATATCATCTGGGCAACTATGGACAACCCTAATCACGGGATCTTAGTTTCACCTTTCAGAGTTAAGAAATAAGATGGTATGGCTATTCAGTGCTTCTTGCTTTTTAACCACCTTGTAGCTGATATTGGTTGCCGATGAAGCTCATACATGAGTCGAATTCCCACGAATCAAATTACTTAAAACCAAACTGCAAACTTCAAAGTGCATCGTGACAACAGACACGTAAAAAAGAATGAACTTGAAGTTTGTGTTACATATATTTTTTATCTCAAAAATATTAGTTATATGAAATAATCTGAGACAGCGAACTATATATATTCCTATACATCTTTAAATATCGTTTTATGAATATGAATATTTGATATAAATATAGTCTACTGATGATTAAATTTGCTAAATATAAGGTATGTTAGTTCACTACCGAACTTTCCATGACTATCTTTGTTAACCAAACCATTTTAGAACTCAGAGAAAATAAAAGTGCTAATAATTTACTGGTTTGAAAATGAGTGCTGATATTTTGACAAAAATCCATTAGCTTTGGTGTCCTCGAACATAATAATCAGAATTAATATGAATCCTGAGAGTGTACAAACGTCAGCTGACTGAAACTGTGTTTAATAAATATTTTTTTCCAAAGATATAGCAAGACCAAAACACCTTTGTCACATAATCGACTAGTTATGAACTAAGTTAAATATGCATCATTATTTGAGTATTCTTCGAGAATTTTAAATCAGATTACAAAAATTTCAGGTTTCATTCGTTTCCCTAGTTCATGACGATAACCGCACTAAAACTGTCTAATGAGTGAAATTAGAAAAATAAAGTAATTAACGCTTTGATTACCAACGTATTAGTAACAAATGGAAAGTCAATCTAAACGTCACCAAATCTAACAAAATCGGTTCTAATAGCTTGCTTATTTTGGAGTGATTCTGGTATCCAATGTAGTTGAATCCCTTGAGCACATGCTGGTGGTCTATTGCTGGATACCACAGTTACATCTGATATACTGCCTTATGAAAAGTCAGCTAATCTTTACTTTTATGATACAACAAAAATAATACCATAAAAATAACTCAAAGCAAATTGATTTGAAACTGTTATGTTGTGAGCATAGTCCCACTGAAAAATATGCAAATGGACTTTGCAATTTTACAAAAAGCAATCCATTATCGTACTATTTATGTGTATCTACTAAATGGTTAATAAATGACTAATAGGAGTTACCTTTGTTCGCTATCTTTATAATGTTAAGGGTCTCACTCGAAATGATAGTTTTTTCACACTTATGCTATATCATTCTGCTTGTGTACGAATTGTCGACAGCATTTTTTGAGTTCTAACGGTTTGTACTTCACAATCATTGTGCTTTTAAAACCACTAAAATGAATGTATATGCATATAAAATTATGATGGTCTTAGATGAGACTTTACTGTGTAATAACTTTAACCAACTTGTCGACGGTATTTTGTTTAACAGCCTTGTCAATGCATTGGCTGTTGTAAAAACAACCTTTTTGGTTTCAAACAGTTTCATATTATTTATCAAAACTTCAGGTTCTACATCAACCAATTATCTAGAACTCATTCGACTGAGTAACAGATATCGAATATTTTATTAGCTCATTCAATCATAGTTCTATCTGCTGATGGTGAAGAATAGATACGCCTAGATTTCATCTGTACCTATTGGATTATCGCCCATATCTACCGGTGACATCATTACACTGGTAATAATCCGGCCTTTATGTAGAACAATCAGATCTAGTTATTTTACTCAGAAGATTAAGTTTATACCTGTAAGCCAACAATAGATGAAACTTAAGTGTTTGTTTGCGGGGATTCGATTAGTTACAGTATCTCATTATAAGCTGACATCGGTTAGAGAACCATCAGTACTCCCAGGTTTTCCAATGGTTTTCTAACGGATATCAGGTCATGATGAAATCCTGTAATAGGTGAAACTAGATATGTAAAGATAGAAACAATCAAGCCATACAGTGCTATCGATATTCGCTTATTTCATATTTAGTTATTGTTTCACCACCTAAGTCGGATTAGGGAGTCTTACAGCTGAAATAAAATTAATTATAATTTCAGAAGCCTACAACCACAGAAAACGTTCCTATTTAAACAGCAATTTAAAGAGGGCAATTACTTATTAGTGAAGTGAACTTAGTTACTTGGTAACCATCTTCTAGTCTACTAGGGTTGAGATTAGTCTGAATTCTATCATTCTGAGAAACTCAGAACCACCAGCACAGTATAAACTTGAGCGTAGAAACAGGAATAATATTTCTACTTGATATGATATAAAATGATATAAAAACACTGCAAAATATGGGATTTCGGATGATATATCAAATGTACACAAAAATATATCACTACTAAGAGTTTGTCGATATCAGAAATCATTTTAATATTCTTATAAACTTATATCAAACCTGTTGCTTCCAGTTTGCATTTTCCATTTTGATTATGTTTTCAACTTTTTATGATAAGATTTAAAATCAGTGGATTAAAGAGCGACACTGTACTTACAATTTGTGCAAATTGTCTCCACAAATTGTTTACTTTTCATAAATTCAAACAAGTTGTAATAAAAACTTATATTATATATATATATATATATATATATATATATATATATATATATATATAATCTGTCGTTAATGCTTTTTTGGGGAATAAAAATAACATTGTGAACCATAAAAGAAATATTAATCTACTTCTTTGTTGATGAAAACGTTTTGCGGAATAAATGAACTAATTAATCTACTTGATCGACTTGAGTTTAATGAATTTCTATCATAACATAATTACTTGGACATTTTCATTTAAAAAGGTGTCATCATATAAGTGTGATAAATGTGCGTCGGTGGCACAGTGGTTAGGACTCTCGCCGACCATGCACATGGTCCGAGGTTCGATCCCCTGTCGACGCACACCTGATATCTATGGTCGGCCTGCGAAATTTGGGCTACCGATATCCACGCTGAAAATTCCATACTTGTACCAAAAATACAGTGTGGAATCAAGCTGTAAATCAAAAATAAAGAAAGTAAAATAAAAATGATTATCGATTATGCATCATAGACAGTTGCGTTTTAGATAAACCGCTAAAATTGAAAAAGTGTTTTCCTATTTATAAAATATCCATCCCGAAAGATTAGTGTGATTTAAAACTAGTAATCAACAAAACATTTGAGAGTTTGACGATCAGCTGCATAAGGTATTCACAAATTTAAAAAGGGAATGTGGCTGTTGTTAAACATTTTCTAATTTTCAGGGGTTTATTAGTTATCTGCTGATAAAAACAATCTAATCTTTTATTCTCAAAAGTGTATAATTCATTCTTAAAAAAACGAATACATGTTATACTAAATTTCTAATACGCTTACAATAGCATTAGAGGATGAAGTATTTTAATATTCTACAATAGGTTATTTCTGCTAATGGTCAGTAGACGTTTCAAGTGAGCTTACTCAGATGTGATAGAGATCTTACAATTTTAAGTACATAGTTTAGAAGTGGGGAATAATAACTGAATGAATCATTTGCGAACTCAGATGTTACATTCCCAGGTCATTTGAGCTTACATAATATTGAGTTATGGTAAATGCAACTTATCAGTACACTGTGTCTTCCCTATTGCAGTGGAAAAAGCTACATTTAAGACCTGACAAATTTGGTAGCTTTGATTGATTTGATTTATTTTTGGAATGACCCTTAAACAATAGGCATATTCTGAAGTTTGGCACAAAATAGTAGAAAAAGTGCCATTACAGTATACTGAGGTGGGACAGACATCGCTTAAATATGCATTAGTTTTTCAAAATAGGCGCAAAATAAGGAAGTAAAAGTAGAATGGTTCTAAAACCGAAAATCGTATGTGTGAGAAAACAACCAGTTAGTACGGGGAAAGCTGAATTTAGTGAATTTGGAGGACATCTAGCAGTGCATACTTCTGTGACAATATGGCTGATTTCGAGTCATGCATTAAGACACATACATTCATTATTAGTGTCTCGAAGGCCAGGAAAAAGAAATATACACTTATATATGCAGATGGGACTATTAGTTAACTAATTCGTGATATGACGTAATTATGAGTCTGGTTGCTTAAAACACTTTCTCGAACAAATCCTACCTTGCCTGAAATACCCTGATGAAGGAGGTGGGGGGTTTGGCATGCGTAGCACACATCCTAGCCACTCAGAATAATAAGGTTTAACAGCCCTAATGGATTCATTGTTTGTTCCCGCAGACTATTCCGTGCTATAATTAACTAGATCTGTTGAAATAAGATACCTGTCTTCATGGGCCACACCTTCAGTCATCTAATTTCAGATGGCGTGCATTACACGTAACAAAAACAAAATAATGATCTGTGGTGGAGTACTTATGTCCTATAAAGACGTTTATTATGCCGTTATGGACACGTAAGTTGTTCATTGTTAAAACTGCTATTTATACTAATACACAAATCAATTAGTGATCACACTATAAACATAGATTATTACTTACGGTCGAATATTAAAACAAATCTGAATAGTTATTTAGTATTATCTGTCGTCATTAAGTTTCCTATGTCTCTTACTATTATCAACCACAATTCCGTTTAGAGATTGCAAAGACTTTTCGCAATTTGATACTGTAACGAACTATCCTCCTTGTTATATTTGTAATACACTGGTGTTACGCTTGTTAAGCACTCACCTAAAATAAGACTACAGATATCATCTGGCTCTTATCAACCTGTCACTGCAGACTGTCAGTTGTACTCACCAGCGACTAAATATAGTCCCGATATCCTTCAGGATTAGCCTCACCGTCGCATTTGAATAAATGTTAAGTCGACTCTTC